TTGGGAGATTGAGCATGAAAGTAACTCGGCCAGTCTTTCTCACACCCTTCGCATTCTTTCGTAAGTTGCTTCATCATTTCTCTGCGGTAAGTTCGACATAAAAGAATTCGAGGACTTGTCGAATCTTAGCTCTCCCGACCATCTCCACTTCATCACTGAGAATCATAACCACGGCATTGTCGATACATATGATACTTTGAGCTATCGTACTGGACATCTTGATGTCGATATTCACCATCAACTTGTTCGTGGATAATCCAAAGTGGACAGCGATAAGAATCCCGCACCAAGCAAAAGATCAGAGGAATAATAGTAAGCAGCATGAGCAGCCACCACATGAGAAATGATTGTTGAAGTCGAGTGCTGAGGTTCCTATATATTTCCAAACGATTTCCGTCATCGAAGAACGTCACTTAATACATGCCTATCATCTTGACGGTGTCTTTGACTTTCTTTTGTAGATAAGGTCGTTAATTAGGAGATTGGGTCGCTCCGCAACCATGATTCGAGTCCAATTTTCGTTGTGCAGGATAGTCGAAATGGTGACATGTTTGCCATAATCTTATCATTTACTACTTTAAGGATCACATTCTTTAGGGCCAAGTCAAAATTGACTTCTATCTTTTCATTTTCCGTTAGCATCGGACACTCGCTGTTACTAGTTGTATCTTCACAGCCACAACACTGATTTTCATCAATTTGGTGGACACACTTCAGATGCGTAAGTCAAAATTAAATAAGTTGCTTTTCGACAAATGTGGAGGGGTCCATGATTTTGAGCAAATGATCGAGAGCTCGAATGGATCACGCTCTTTATATCTAATACCGTTCATAAGTTAGCGAGCGCAATTTTTGGGGGAGTGTGGAACTCTTTTCAATAGTCGATTAATGAAGAAACACTTTTATTTGAGATTTCAAAGAATTTTATTAGAATATATGACAATCACAGTACAGTTCAGTTCAGAGATCTCAAATTCTTGAATGTCCTGCAATGGGTTTGGCATTTTTCTCCGTAGACTTTTCGTGGAGGAAGAATGCCTTGCGGATATCCTTTTCAGGACTAGTGAAAGTTTCGCCAGTCTTGAGGATCTTGTACAGGTAGCTGGGGTTTGAAAACATGGAAAAATTGCAAATGGATGAAGGTAGCTTTCTCACGGTACGCCCACCATAGACTTCAGGGATATAGCAACATCTTGATTTGGAGTWTTGGAAAAAATCATCCCAAGATATGATACTGGGGTGATTGGTGAACCAAGGGTTGACGATGTGTAATGCCAAGTCACTGGCTAGCTCTTGGAAGTAGATCTTCCTATCCGTTACTGAGAAGGCATGGCTTTTGACTTGGTTTATTTCCTTCATCAGTTGAATCATTTTTTCACTGCTAATATCGTTGTAAAGTTCGTGGAGGTACCTTTCCAGCGCTGATTTTATCGCGAGGTAATTTGGATTTCCTGGAACATGTTTATACTTAAGTACGGCATAAGCATACCAAAGATACGCAGGATAGAGCGAGAGAATGGTCTGGAGGTAGCAATTCCCGAAAAACCACCTACTACGGATTTGCAGAAACATTTCCTAGAAGTGCAGGATTACTACCTATTTTACAGTACAAAGGCGGCTGCGCTGTCCAGTCTATTTCTTGTTTGTCCAGGAAATGCCCCCAGACAGGAGTTGTGGGATGTTCTACCGTGCAGCCCTCCAATACGCACTCTGGACATTTCTGCGAAAGGAACAGGATTGTTCTTTCTTTTTTTCTGTAGGTGGTTTTGGCGTATCTCCAGCATTGGTACTCGCCTTCCTGCATGTGCAAAGCCTGCGTGCATTCTTTGTTTGGTGGCGCCGACACTTCTAGTACTTTTTCTGGATTCTTGGGTATCGAATGGTCTATTTTCCTAGCCAACTCGTAGTACGTATCCAAACCAGGTCCTTCCGGCACGAATACAGTTGCTACGTTGTTTTTCCACTCCAGCAGTATTTCTTCTCCGGGAATAGCTACGCGCATGTTTTCGCTTGCTTCGAACTTCCCAGCTGCAAATGCGTCCAGCATTGCTTCTATAGCCCACGCAATGCAGGTTTCTTTGCCTTTTCGCAAAGCTACGCGGTGTCCTCTCGCAGGCCAAACGGTATCTACGTTTTTGGGCACTGCGTATCCTAGTATTTTGTACTCCCCTGTGGGTATTTCCTGCATTCGGTGTACTTTGGTTCTACGAGGCATGGAATCCTCTAGGAAATCGGAAACGTCCTGGCCAAAGAACAATTCGCGTAGATTGCTTGTTCTCCTGGAAATCCTATCCAACGTTTTCCTGTACTTTTCCAACTCTTTCTCTATTTTCTTTCTGTCCTCTTCTTTTTGCCGCAGTATGGAGTTTCTTTGCTCCAAGAGTTCTGCGTGGTATCTCTTTGTGGCTTCTACCCATTCGTCTCCTTCCAAGTCGTCCCGTATGTCTTCCAATCTTTGCTGTCGTTTTCTTTTGCACAGGAAGGATATTCTGCGGTCCGTAGGTACTTCTAGTATTCCAAAGAGACTCTTTTCTACTCCTATCTTTTGCGCCTTTTTTGTGCGCCAAACCACCTCTACGTGCTCCGTAGTAGGTAGGAAATATGCAATCGTAGGCGGATCTTTGTGTACGCGGGTTGGCTTGTTAGACTCTGCCAACACCGTGGGAGAATCCTTTGTGTAGCATCGCAGCGGTAGTATTTCCACCGGATCCAATCCACGCACATCTATGCGGAATATAGGGCATTTGCGCATGTCTGCTAGAGGTTCTATAGTCTCCGCAATAGCATTCGTGTGTTCTTTGGAGAAATCCCTACCATAGATGGATATTTCCACTCTGCTGCATCCTCTTTTCGGCACGTCTGGATGCAGGAATGTTCTACGCAGGTGCTCGTTTGGACAATCCACGTACTGTGCTAGCTTTGCGCCTACTGGATTTTGCACTTCTCCGGCTTCGAAGTTGGATACTATTTTGTTGTATATTTTTGTGCGTTTCCCGTCTTCCATCCAAGTACAAACATGCCCGCCTACTTGGTGCGTGTTGTCCAAGATGGTTCCTTTGCGTCTACCCAGTTCTCCCTGGTGTTCGTAGCCCAGCTGTAGCAATCTGCGTACCAGAGCTTTTCTATCCAAGGTACCGGAGAAATCCTGCGTGTAGTCTACGGAATAGATACCATATCCGTGCGCATCCAGTAG